GGGAAACTAGCAATGATTCTGAACTCTACCTGAGTTCTGCAACCAATGTTTTGAAAAAGGATGTTGTTCTCTCTTCATGTGGGGCAAATCAAAAGAAATTCCAGACAAGGGAAGGAAGGAGCCTAGGGTTTCTGACATACACGGGGCCTCAGAGTCCACTGGAAGGAAAAGACAACACACTGAGGAGATAGATCCCAGCCTCTGCCATGGAAATAGAGCATTCCTTCATTACTGCCAGTTCCAAACTCAAAATCCTTGCAACCACATCCATTTCTGCTCACTGCTGGAAGTTCTAGACTCTGATTCTAGGTGTTCACAGAGAGCACTGTTGTCAGTGTGGCCTCCTCGGCTGGTTTTACCAACATGGCTAGAACTCATCCACCAATAAATGTCTACCACAACCTCCTACCCTGGGACCCACTGCTATTATCATCTCATATGTGGTACATTCTGACAACACCCCCTCCCCTTAGCAGCTCCTCCATCTCCATGCCTAAGAATATCTCTATACATACGCATGTTGAAGACAAAGCAAAATATCTTTTGTGTAGCTCACTTCTCTGCTCCTGAAGCCGAAGTGAGAAATGCATAATACCACAGGTTTGTAATCAGGGCTGAATGAGAGAATTCCTCCAAACAGCTTGTCCCAGGGCCTGGCAATTGGCAAGAACAGAATAAGTGGCAGCTATTATTATTGTTCAACACCAATGGGACCTGGGGAAACCATATTGGATGTGTGGGGTCAGGTGTCAGTCGCTATTCTGCATGACTTCTAATCTATGCAAAAGACCTATTACAAAGTCCATTAAATGTCACTAATCAAGTCAGGAAGTGACCAGGGCATAAGCTTCCACTTCATCAGTTAATGAAGACACCTGATTCTGAATTTTAAGATGTTGCAGCAATCCCCAGCTTCCAACAAGGATGGAAAGGCCTTCCCAGCCCACCACTGCTGCGTGGGTCTTGCCTTTTTCTGCCTACTCCAAAAAAACTCGAAGCAGAAGTTTTCCCAAAAGCCCCGAGTCTGGCTGAGAACCATCTGATAAAGCAGCTGACAGACAGAGCTGCCCCCGTATTGATTCCGATGTACTGACGCCTGTCTGAGAGGAGTTCCGACTGTGGGGCTCCCCCTAAAGCAGTCACTCCAATCAGGGCCCCGTCGGAGGGCCGCCCCGTGAGCTCTGGCTGCGTGCAGGCTGAAATGTCCCCTTTCCACTTCGTCGAGTGACGCCATGGTCCTGGAGTGGCTGGCTGTTCCCATCACAGGCCCCCCTTTCCACTCGCCCCTTTAACCTTAACATTTCCAGAAATTCTGGTCTCCACGCTTTCTCCCCACCCCACACGCTCTCCCACTGGGAACTTGTGGGCCCCTCCTACAGCGTCGGCCACCTTCTGTAAACCAGCAAGAGCTCCCAGACCCGCAGCCCTGAGCCCACATTTCCGATGCATTTGGACACTCCCACCTGGGTATTCTCAAGGCACCCCTAACCCCACATGCCCTGAATCATCATTTAATCAGTCTACAAATGCTCCCTAAAGGACTTTTCTTTTTTCATGAAAACAATCAGTAAAAACAATGATGACAATTTCAACCCTAGAATAGTGAGACCCTGAGAATCTAGACCTCAGTACCCCTCCAGACACATGCTTCTTGTTGCGGCCTCTGCATGGGAGCCATCTCTCTGCCTACATGCGTGCAAAGGTCCTGAGGTCAGGGTCAGCCACGCAGCCTGGGAGGAGCATGTGGCTTTTGGCCCCAGGCTAATTAAACAGGCCCCACCTCTCTGCCGTTCACCGGCCTTCCATTTCCCATTCCCCCAGGACACAAGCACATCCCGAGCTTGCCCTCCTGGGACATTAACCATCAGTCCCAATGCTAAGTTAGGATCCAGCCAAAACTCAACTAGCCAAGGAGAACACATGGGCAGATGCAAAAGAGAGCACGGGGCCAGGGGTAACAAGGCACAGGCAGGCCGGCTCTTGTCAAGGGAGCCCTGCATCAAGGCCTTTTACCTCGGGGTCACTTGTTCAGATCCAGCCTGGCCTCGCCTGACAGAAAATCATTACCAGCTCTGTGTCAGGCTGCCTGACAGATGGAAAATGAGTTTCTGTCTCCGTCCAGCAGGCAAGTGTCCACATCACACTTGGCACTAAGCAGCTCTCGACTCTGTGGGGACGGAGGAAAAGTCATGCGATGGTGGCCCGGGTCTCAGGCAGGTCTTGGAGGCCAAGCCGGGCCTGCACTTCAGCATTCTCTGCGTGGGGGTCTGACAGCTTCCTCTCCCCTCCCCTTTCATGAGCGCTTTATTAATCTGGTTGTTTTTTCTCCTCTGAAGACTTTGTTAAACAAGTAGTTTGAAGTAATGGAACAGCTGAGAAAATCTGATCTGCAGCATTGAAAGAAGAGTGGCCAAAATCACAACAGAAAAACATCTAAAGGGATATTTTTATCCTTGGCAGGGCGGGGCTGGGCTGGGGGCCTGGGCTGGGGGCCTGGGCTGGCTGGACTGCTGTGTCCAGTGGAAGGCGTGGGGCTCTGGGCAGGGTAGGCCCGACACAGCACCTTCACCACAAAGCTCTCTGGATGAGCGGCACTGGGGGGCAATCCCCTCTGCGGTTCCATTTTCAACTCTCTTCTTCCCTCTTAGAACCATCTAGCCACCAGTCCAAAGGCATTTCAAGCTCAGAAAGATGCTTCTTCCCCTCCTGCTCACAGACAGCCCTGCCGAACCCTCAGAAGAGTGTCTATACACTTCCCCAGACTGGGCTTTCCTCCCCATGCCCAAGTGGGAGGAACTCACACCCTGTCCCAGATTGTTCTGGAAAATGCAGAGCAGGGTCTGACTCAGCTGCGAACTTCCCACCCCTTCCCCCTTCACTGGGGCGGGGAGACGTGCCGGCACGGTGCAACTCCAGTCTGGCCCTCAGAGAGCTTCATCGTCAAAGGTGTCCTTCTTTTCAACTCCTCCTGGGGGGCTGCTGCAGAGTCAGCCACTCCTGGGTCAGCCCAGAAGTGGCCAGTCCTCCCACGACTCTCCGACTCTGGACAGAAGAAGCCCACTGGTCTATTTGGGTCCTTCCCCAGCGAGTTTGCTGTCTGGAGACTCCCTCGGCCAGCGTGGGGCAGACTGCTTGTCCCTTCTGTTGACCAGAGTTGGCCCTTTAGACTCTAGGGTCACCTGGCTTGTGGGAACCTGGCCAAGGCATGTGGAGGGACCTCCTGGGCCATCTCTAAGAGCAAAGGACCAGGGGATCCACACCATGCTTCAGTCCCTGGGATACCCATTTTCTCCTCCTCTCTGTGTCCTCCAGCCCTGCCCATTGGACAGAAGCAGCAGGAGCACGGGGTCCCCAGACCTGAGCTGGAACTCATCCCTTGTTTGGCTGAGTTGGGGAGAAGAGACTGGGGCCCCAGTATTCTTACCCCCTCCTCTGATTTTCTGAAGCAGAAAGAAGCCCCCAGATTCCCAATTTGCATTTTTCATTCTGTTTGCACTGTCCGTTAGACACACTGGTATATTCAATGGAGACAGCCTTATTCTGTCCGTTGCTGTTCATATCTACCAGCAGTTTGAAGACGGATTCCCTGCTGCATCCGAATTTCTGCGGGGGCTCTATCCATATGCACAGTCACTGCTACAGCATATGGTGTTGCTTTTCCTCACAAACTGGACAGGAGCTGGGTTTTAAAGCTGTGTGTGTGTGCACGTGCACCTGCATGTTTAGCTATAAAGCCATATATGCTCACAGAAAAAAATTCAGAATGGAGTGAAAAGTCAGATCTGCAGAGCACACTTTGAGAACCGCTGCCCCCGAGCCCCTCTTTGCTCTCTGCCTCTCTGACCTTCTGCTGCTGTAGCCCCTCGGTCACAGCAAAGCCCCTCATGAGTCACTTGTGGCCACCTTGCTTCTCCCCAGAGTCCTCAAGGCTACTTTCAAATGCAGCCTTTCAGAGTCCCCGAAGCACAGGAACTAGAGAAGGAGCAGCCCGCAGCTCAAACCCCAGACAGAGAGAAGCCTTCTGAGGATGCTCATCTGCTCAAGTGGGAGAGCACTGAGGGACCAGGGTCAGCAGAGGGGATTGGCCCCCAGGAGAGGCGGGATGCTCGCCTGCCTGCCAGGCTGAGCCCGAAGCTAGCCATGCTCTTGAGCATCTGACCAAGCCCTGATGTTCCAGAAAGTATGATGCCCCGAGGGAAGGGCGCTCCCTGCTGGTCCAGCCCAAGCAGAGTGAAGCTCTTACTGCCCGGGAGATGCCCACGTGAACAAAAGGGAGCAGTACCTTTGTGCTCTCCAGCTTCCATCTCTAGCTATGCTCCTGGAAGAATGAGGAATGGTGCCCGGGGAAGCAAAGGGCTTGCCCTGACATTTAGAGAGCCTGTTTTTGAGGAAGGGCAGGAAGCAGCCTCCGGTTCACACCTAGCCCTGAGCCTGGCACATGGCAGATGCTCAATGAAACATCACCTGGAAGAAAGTGAACTACTTCTGCCCCCGGCCCTGCCACCGCTGTGTGTCCTCGTTCAGATCACTGGCCCTCCCTGAGTCTGGTTTCCTTCTCTGAAACGGGGATGCGAGCTGTTTCCAGAATGAAATGAGGTCGCTCACATCAGTGAATGATGGAACTCTATAAGGCAACACAAACGTCGGGGATGGGAGGGTTGAATGCTGCATATCAAACAGGCTCCACTGTTTTCAGTGGCTGAAAAGCAGCTCTAATTTACCCATTGACCTTCTTCTATTCATGGAGTAAAAAATTTAAGTTGTAAGAATAATCTCCTCTCCCCGCTCGCCCCTCCCCCACCCCCCGACCATCCTGGGAACTCAATGGAGCTATTTTCTTTTTGGGTGGAAAAAAATTTTTTTTTCCTTCTAAATTGGGCTATGTGCAAAAAGAAGGCTGCTCACGGCCGCCCTGGACAACCTTGGCTATACAAAATGTGCACAGCGTCCTTTCAGCACCAAGACTTGGTCTTATTTACACTTATTTACATATCGAGCGAGATCTCCATGGCTGCCTGCCCGGAAGCCCTATTTTTAATTGTTCAAGCCCCAGCTGCCCCCTGACCCTTCCTGGCACTTTTCTGAGGATTTCCGGCCACCGCTAGCTTGTGAGGGAAGGGCAGAAGACGAGACTCCTTGGAAGGAATCTCAGCAAAGGCTGAACTCAAACCAGAGAGGCCCAAATTCAGCATCCCGCAGGCCCTTTCCGAGGTGATTCTCTTGTTGGGCCAGGCGTGGCCCCTGCGGAGCGGACGAGCTCTGGGCTCTGGCCCGTGGGCCAGCTCAGCAGCTTGGCCAGCTGCATCCCATGTGGACAAAAGGACAGGGGAAGAGGGAAGCAGCTGCCTCTGTGTTCTCCAACTTCCTTCCCTAGCCGTGCTTCTGGAAGAATCAGGAACCGTTCCAAGTAGAGGTAAAAGGCTTGCCCTGAAATTTAGACGGGCGAGGTATTTTTTCTTCTTTTTAAAAACAGCATTTCCTAGACAGAGCAATAAAATATGTATTTATAAATATTTTCCAAGAGCGCCCTCTAGTGGAAATCTGAAGGCAGTGGCACGTCTTACAAACAAGGGACTTGCATCCCAAACTCCTGAATAAAAATAAAGCACATTCCAGCGAGACCTCCTTCACGCGTGACCCGAAAACATATCAAATTTCTGCCACAAGTCCATAAAATGCCACATGGCCTTGATTGGAAATGAAGGCTGCCTTAAGTCTTTAAAAGGAAATCGTGCTCTACTTCAGGAAATGGAAATCATGTTCTGGGGACAGTATTTTGAAACTTTTAGGCACAGGGAACTGTGTGGAAGGAGACAATGGAAGAGAGCCCTTGGTTGTATTCCTAGGCTGCGCATGTGTTGCTGGCCCGGTGCTTTTATTTTGGCTGCGGAGGGAGCCAAGGCTGCAATCATGTCCAGCCCCAAAGGCCACACACACTGCTGGGCTTTTACCTTGGAGGATGTGGGACAATGAGTCATTTGTGCCTCTTCCTGGTTCTTCCTGGCCAAGGTCAGCTTTCCCACTGGAACCAAGCAGCTTGGCGCAGGGCCCAAGCCGTCTGGAGCCTTTCAATAGAGGAGAACCCAGGGGAGGGTGTGCCCCCTCCCCCCCTCGCAGGGCCCCAGTGCTGGCTCCGAGGCAGCTCTTGTCCACCTCATAAAACCTCATTCATTCTGCTCAGTTTAGCTTGAAGGGCCTCCTAGCGGAGGCCTAAGAAAATCACTGGTCCTAAATCCAGGTTCTCAGGCAGAAGTCTGTAGGCGGTAACTTGAATGGCTTTTGATCATTCCCACCTTTCCTGGTGAGCTTTCCAAAGAGGATTAATTTTTATCTGTTTGGGATGATTCTGATTCATCCTGTAACTACTGCTACTACTGGTAGTAAAAAACAGCTGTCGTTCCTTTATTTCTCCATTCAACAAATATGTTCTGAGCCCTTACTCCGGCCCAGGCACTGTTCTAGACTCTGACTACCAAGACAGACACCGCCTGACGTCATGGAAATTACAGCCTAGTGTGGAGACAGATGACAGGCAAGATATCATTTTGAGGCTATGAAGAAACTGACATTGTGTAATGAATAACAAGGAGACGCCTGCCTAGATGAAGCATTTGGGCAGACCGTTCTGAGAAGGTTACATTTAAGCATCTATTATGTGCCAGCTATTTACCATGTTAGATGTTGAGGATACAAAGATAAAGAAAATGCTATCTGTACATTTCTTCACAGTCTTCAGAGTCCAATGGTGAAATAATAATTTCATAAGATACAAACAACAGGATTTCAAAATAGCCCGAAGAACTATTGCTTGCAACAAATCTGCCAAGTAAATTGCATCATGCTCATTTTATAGATGTGAAAACTGAGTTTAAGAGCGATGAAAGGACTTGCCAAAAGTTATAGAGTTCATCAGTAGCACTGGCAAGTTTGAATTAAAGCCCATCTTACTCTCAAACGTTTAATTTTTTTCTTTTCCTATGCTATGTTGGTTGGTGAAAATGGGGATAAACAATAAAATCCCAACATCTTTGTCAAGGCATGCCACGCTGTCTCAAGTGGGTTACCAGGACACCGATCCACCTACCGCTCAGAATCTGGCTGAAGGACTCTTGCTGGAGTAGAGAAAGGACCAAGACAGCACACCGGTTACACCTTCAATTAAGTGTGTTGCTTCGCCAGCTCTTGACAGTGGTACACAAGTCTGACAGTTGGTTTCAGACTCCCTCAGCCTTTGTCCTGAAGAGATGCTGAGGTACTCCTCTACTCAACTAACTCAGAGCTGAGTCCACACCCAGAGTTCCTCCTTCGCTTCCCTTCGCAAGGCCCCTCTCATCCTGCAGCCCAGGGACAGGTCTCCTGACTCTGGGGAAAGGTCACCCTCCACTTATGCAAAACTCATCACTGACCGGACCCTGAGCAGGAACAGGAAGGAAGAAAAGGCAACCAGAAGTGACCCTTGACTATTCCTCAGCTGCTGGCGGGGAAAGATAACAACCCACAGTGGGCTGCATGAAGGTAGTAGTATGACGGTTTGAGCCCCATCTCCTCTGAAAGCTTTGTTGTCACACCACATTCCCAGGAAAACAGAGGACAATTGGATCAACTCCTTGGGTGATGGGGTTGTTGATTTGGTGTCAGCTAAACATAGATCTAGAGAAACAGTTACTCCGAGCAGTGGTCTTCAACCTGGGTTCTCAGCCCCCAAGGACTCAGGGAAGCATTTTTGAGGAGGAATGACAGAGGGACAAGTAAAGGAGGTGAGAGGGGCAGACTTCTCTCCAATCCAGACTGGCTGTGCTTTGACCTGATTTACACATTGGGCTCCCATTCAGAGCAGATTCCTTTTGGGGTTGGCCTGGTGGTGTAATGGTTAAGCTCACGTGCTCTGCTTTGGCGGCCTGGGGTTCGCAGGTTTGGGTCCCAGACGTGGACCTGGCACCACTCATCAAGCCACACTGTGGCAGCGTCCCACATAAAATAGAGGAAAATTGGCATAGATGTTAGCTCAGTGACAATCTTCCTCACACACACACACAAAGAGCAGGTTCCTTTTGAAAAAGGACTTCTGATGCTCAGAAGAGAGGGACGATGGCTTGGGGTGGGGACTGGGTGTAATAACCTTTAGTCCAGCTTTGAAATCAGATGATGTCACCAGCCTGCCTTTGGCCCACTCCTTCGAGGCAGGAACCAAGACTTACTTCCCTCTGTATCCTCCACCTCCAACACAATGTTTACCAAAGTGATCTGAATTCATTCGGGCTCCAGTTAAGTCTCTAGCTTAGGATTTGTTTTGCTTAGTCCTTTTGGTCTAAGCCTTCTCTTTTTATTCCTTTATTCTTTGATTTTCAACCTCTCCTCTTCCAAACCACTCTTGACCAAGCCCAGAGAGGGCTGGCGAGAAGGCAAAGGGGTTTCCTCCAGAATTCAAAGGAAGCCTTCAGGAAGCATGGCCCATGGAAGGGGCTCCCTGCTGCCTCCCCGTGCTATTCCCTAGAGATAATTGCTGGTCCCACGTGTACAACCTTGGCTTTAAGCTCAGGAAGAACTGGGAGCACGCTACATCTCTACCCAATCTGGGACAACGAGGAATAAACCTGTGCCTGACAGCATGGCTCCTAGAGGCCTGGGAGGTAACCCCCCTGCACAGATGCTCTGAATGCCCTAATTGTACACAGCCTTGTTTCTATTACAGAAATGCCTTGTTTCGCCCACTATCCATTCATGTAGTAAATCTATATTCAATTTCTACTATGTGCTGTGATGCTGGGGGATGTAGCAGAAAATACACAAACACGAGTCTCTGCCTTTGTAGAGTTTTAGTCATCAGAATCTGGATCAGCCATTCTCAGCTCTGGCAGCACATTCGAATCACCTGGAACCTTTAAAAAAAGAATGTGGACATGGGCCCCACTCCCCAGAAGTCTGATTTAATTGGATTGGGAACCTGACATCAGTGTTTCTATCTGAAGGCTTAGGGGCTAGATGAGAGGGGCTCTGAAGGACTGTGGAGAAGCTTCTAGTCTTCTTCCCTCCTCTGTTACTTATTAAAGCTGGATCTTTCCCTGAGTACCAGGCTGTGTGAGGAAAAGGGAAAGTACACAACTTGCTTTTTGTTTCCTCCAGAATTTCACTACAGCTGTATGTTTTACTTCTGTTTCTTAGTTTCCCACATCAGGAGTCTTTTCTTCTGAGAGTAGGACCTTGCCAATTTGGGTCCTGGAATCTGGATCCCAGAGGTGTGCGGCCTTCACCTTCTCTCACCCCTGGACCACTCATTAACTGTCCGTGACTCTCCCCCTTCTCACTGACTTCCTTTCCTTTGTTGCTTGTTTCCAAGCTCTTTTTGTCTGCACCTTGTAGATCTGGCAGCCTTCTCGGTTTTCTTTATGGCTCCTTTGGACAGCAGTGGCCTAGGAGCAGGAACAAAGGACCTCTCCCCTCCTTAGGCTTTCTTCTCTAATTTCATGCAGCATCTCTCTCTTTTCAATCCTCATCACCATTTCCCACCCCCATATGTATCCCTCTCCTATCCCAATGCCATTCTCTGTTTTTGTTTTTGCTGAGGAAGATTAGCTCTGAGCTAACATCTGTTGCCAATCTTCCTCTTTTTTTGCTTGAGGAAGATTAGCCCTGAGCTAACATCTGTGCCTGTCTTCCTCTATTTTATATGCGGGTTGCCACCACAGCATGGCTGATGGGTGGTGTAGGTCCATGCCCATGATCCAAACCAGCGAACCCAGACTGCCAAAGCTGAGCACACCAAACTTAACCACTAGGCTACAGGGCTGGCCACCCAACGCCATTCTTTAAGCTTCATCTAGACAACCCTGCTTTGGGGCATAGGCTTTGGAGGAGAGAGAAGGTAGCCTGTCATTGAGCATCTGGGGGTGGAAATTGGATGTTGCACTACTGACACCATCTTCACCCAGGCCTGGCAGACCCCAGATTGGGAAAGTACCCGCTCCACAAACATTAAAGAGAGAGAAAAAAATATGTTTATCTGTTTGTTACTATCAAGAGGAGTTGATTTTTAATTCTAGACGGTCTGGGCAAGTAGGGGCTCTGCTTAATCGGAGGGCTTGGGCTTACAAAATGCCCTACAAATAATAATAGTAATAACATAATAGGACTAATGGTGGTGCTACATTTGGAGCTTGAAATGATCAGTGACATTCGCCTGATGAGGTTAAACGGCCTGGCTCACGGGCTGCACATTTGCATAATAAAGATCAGAAGTCAGTGCCTTCTACATCTCTCTCAGCACAAGCCGCCTTGCGTCCTTGGTTCGGGGACACCACATCCTAATGTACTTCCACACGCAACCCTGTGCAGTCGTTCTAATCTCTGGCTTGCATGTGAAATGTCAGCTTTTTTTTTTTTTTTTTTGTCTGAGAGAACAACAAATTATGTTTCTAAATGAGAAGGTACTGTCTGTAATGGATAATACAATCTGAAAACGCAGAGGCAACATCTGTGACCCGTGGTGCTAACCTAGCAAGCTGTGGTCTATTTTTCCAGCCTATCAGTTGATAGGAAAACATCACTTTAGATACAATAATTAATCATTAGTCAAAATGGATATCCCCATTGGTTCCTTGCCTCTCTGACAACCCTGTCTAGCCTGACTGTAAATCAGGAAAATACATTCTTTAATATCCAATGGAATGGATTTCCAGGCAGCCTCTTTCCTCCATAAAGTAACAAAACACTTTTCAGAAACCATCTATCATCAGCTGATAGGGGAAGATTCTCCCAAGGTGCCACTTGAAGGAAGGAAAGTGTAGAGCCCAGAGGAAGGGAGGCAGCAAGTTCAAGACGGTGGCTGGAAGGCAAGGAAACACCTTCTTACAGTGGTGGCTCTTAGCTGGGTAGTGGGACAATGACAGCCAGCACCTTCCCCATCAAGCCCATGGGTCCCTTTTCCCTTCGGTACGTCTCCTCCCCTCAGCCCACTGTGGGGGCCCTGTCACAGCTAGCAGGTCATGCATTGGCCTGGCCCACCATGCGTAGACAGTCTCCAAAGTCTCATCGTCCTGGCTCTAATGGCAGCTGTAGATTAATCGTTCCAGGACGTTTTTCTACTTGATTCCAGGCTCTCTCTAGATCCACTGAAATATTTATAGCACCCAACATGCTCCAAGAAAATAAATGATCTGCCAAGGATGGTGAAAAGAAAAGTGGACCGAAAGTCAGGATGGGAGGAAGGAATCTGAGGACTACCCTAGACTCTAACTTGGTGTTTGCCTTTGACCCCTCAGCGGCCTTTTGTCATCTGTAAAAAGGAGGTGTTCTTAATGATTTTTAACCCATGCTTGTTGGAGCCCTAAATTCCTGAGGCCTCAAGGTAAGGTGAAAGGGAGAATGGGGGAGAAAAGGAGGAAGATGTCCTCAAATTTCAACTAGAGCATTCAGCTTTTATTGTTGCACCCAACAGACAAAATTAAAAATTCAAAAACCACTGAGTCAGACGATCTTCAAAGCCATTTCTAATTTTTAAATTCTATAGTTCTCTATCTCAAAACTGCCCACTCCATCGCTGAGTGTGGAAATGATACAAGAAATGCTGCTTCATCTTGGCACTTATAATTGTATCTCTTAGTTACTAGACCAGTGGTTCCCAAATGGGGGTGATTTTGTCCTCCAGGGGACATTTGGCCATGTCTGGAGACACTTTTGGTTGTTACAGCTCTGGAGGAGGGAGCTAGTGGCATCTCGTGGGTAGAGGCCAGGGATACTGCTAAACATCCTATAAGGCATAGGACAGCCCCCACAACAAAGAATGATCTAGCCCAAAATGTTGAGAGCATGGAGGTTGAGAAACTCTGCGCCAGACTACAGGAACTGAAGAAAGAATGCTCACAGGGGAGTTTCTGTGGTGGAAAGACCCCATTCAGCTCTCCTTCTGCCTCACCTCGGACTGAGAGTTTGTCTAGTCTCAGCTCCCCCCTTCCAAGGACTCCCCTGAGCCTTTGAGCTGAGACACAGACCATTCCTTGCCCTGAGGACTCTAGTTCACCTCTAGAGAGAACCCTGCACTGCGGGATGCCCAAGCATCTGGGAGCTGCCCAAGGTGCTACACAGTCAATCAACTTCGATCTAGACCAAGAGCTGGTGATAGTAGCACAAATATTGAACTTTTTGTTCCCTCATTTAACAAATACTTATTGATTCCTTACTCTGTACTGGGAACAATTCCAGGTGCTAAGGGCATAGCAATGAACAAAACAAAGTCTCTGCCTTTATAAGGCATCCTAGTCAGGAGGAGGCAGAAAATAAACAAAACACAAATAAACACATAAGATTCAGGAAGTAATGTGTGCTATAAACATTATAGAGCAGGGATGGGCAGAGAGAGTGAGAAGAGGTTGCAGTGGCCAGGAGGAGCCTCTCTGATGAGGTGACATTGGAACAAAGTTCTGAAGGCTTGTGGATGTCCAGGGGGATGGGGTTCCAGGCCACAAGAACAGCCTGAGCAAGTGAGCTGAGTGGGGCTGAGCAGCGTGCACAGCAGCGCGGGAATGTGCTGGAGCCAGGAAGAAAGTGGTCAGAGGGCCAGGTCTCGCAGTACCTGGTCAGCCCAATCAGATGTTCCGATTTTATTCTGAGAGAGGTGGAAAGCCATTAGAGAAGTTAGAGACAGTGTGGCATAAACTGATTCGTGTTTTAAAAGCAAAAAAAAGTTTGCATTTGACAGGCTTCAGTTGTCCTGGCTGCTCCACTCATCATTGTCAACGGACCAGAGTCTCACAATGTTCACATTTTCTTTTTGCATTTATAGAACAGAATAAACAAAACATCGGCCTCCCTTTTATCATAAAGGCCCTCCTGATATTCCAAACCAGAGATCACTGTGTCTGGTTTTGCAACACCCTGAAGCCAGATGAAGCAGAGTTCTGAAAAAGTTCTCAAGTTTAATAAAACAAATTAATGCAAACTCATTTCACTTGAATAAAAGAAATTCCTTGCCACACACCACTTTTAGAAGGATAGGCTGGAGTAAAATGAAGTCAAATCACAGGGCCTGCACTCCAGAAAGGCTGCGATCACTAATTAATATCGGAAGGCCTAGCCGGGAAGAGGGTATGTTCTCCGTAATTTATTCATAAATTGCCAGCCTTTCCCAGACAACTTTTCAAATAAAACGTGACACTTGTTTAAATATTTACTGGCTTGTTGACCCATTTTTTTGTTGTTGTTAATTAGAATTTTTTTTTTAAAGGAAACAAACATTGTAACAGCAAATTAATCCAGACAGCCTTGACAGTGAGAGAGCTCAGCCTGGCGATGCTTAAGCATTTGTTGTGATGGGCCAAAATTGTTGTATCCGAGGGGAGAAATTAATTAGAAATATCAGAAATATCTCTGAATGTAAAAGGTTAAGGCTCACCCCTACCTCCGATCTGTGGTTATTAAATTAACACAATAGATGTGAAAACACTTGTTCTAAGTATAAAGAGTTTTCAGCAATTGTTTTTCTGTTATTTTTCCTTAAATGTGTGTTTAGCCTCAAACCTCCTTCTCCAAGAAGTGGTTGGCTAAACAATTCTGTAGCTGTTCCTGCAAAACAAAAAAGCTATTTTAAGATGTTGCATTTGAGTCTTTTGCCTTTTTTTAACTTTTAATGGCTTTGTGCTTTAGTAAGAGCATTCAGGTTAAGTTAACACTTCCTACTTGCTCCCCTCTGGGGCTTCTCCAAGCCAAGCTTAGAGGACCTTCAAGATCACAGTAACAGAGGGGTTTTATATCTCCTGACTACAGGCCTATGGACTCCAGCTGCCCTTGCCAAAAAAGAGTTTACTCAGAATGTCTCAGCAAAAATGACCCTGGCAGGAATTGTAGCCAGTGGCTACCATGACAACTGGTGTGATGACCACTTCCATTTGCTGGGCTGGGGATGGAGGAGCTGCAGGGGGCAGAAGCTGTCATGGAAAGGGTGGTCACAGAATTTCTCTAAATGGTCTAGATTTAAAGATACCGTTGCATGTGCAGGATGGTGTTAATTACAATGGCATGTCAAGTAAGTAGGTAGTTAGAGATAGCTAAGGGTTGAACATGCATCTAATCTTCACGAAAGCCAAAGAGGTAAATAACTTTGTGATCCACTTTTCTCTGATGAGGAAGCTGAGGCTCAAAGACTGGCTGACTCTTCTGCATCACTTCACTGTTTTGCCTTCGCTGGAGTTCTCAGCTGGAGATGAGGAAATGCCTTAACTCTGAAGCCTGGAGATTTCCCTCACTCCCTTTGATGCTTTGCAGGAAAGGTGACTCACGGCATCTCCTAGGGATGAACAGCCTCTCCTGCTCTCACATAAGTGCCCTGGCAGGTCAGCAGTCTAAACAGAGATGTAGGGAATTAAAGATAGATAGCTTCAAATCCTTTGCCACGTCTCCCATCAAAAAGTGAAATCTAGGGGCCAGCTCGGTGGGGCAGCGGCTAAGTGTGCATGTTCCACTTCAGTGGCCTGGGGTTTTCCGGTTAGGATCCCAGGTGTGGACATGGCACCACTTGGCAAGCCATACTGTGGTAGGCGTCCCACATATAAAGTAGAGGAAGATGGGCACGGATGTGAGCTCAGGGCCAGTCTTCCTCAGCAAAAAGAGGAGGATTGGCAGCAGTTAGCTCAGAGCTAATCTTCCTCAAAAAAAATTTTCTTTTTAATTTTTTTAAAAAATGAAATCTATTGCCCTTCTCTTCAAAGAATGAGGGCTGGCCCTGTAATTTGCTGTGACCACCAGAATGTGGCAGAGGTGAAACCATGTAACTTCCCAGGCTAGGCCTTAAGAGATCCCCAGCTTCTGGTTTTGTCTGCTTGGAACACTCCACCTTGGAACCCAGCCACGAAGAGGAGAAGCAAATTGCCTCCTATACTCATCAGCAGCCCCAGGTGAGCCCCTATCTGGCAGGCAGCACCCAGTGCCAGCCATGTGAGTGAGTCACCTGGGAGGTTCCAGCCCATTCAACAACACACGGAGCAGAAGAACTGTCCAGCGGAGCCCAGGCAACCCCAGAATCGTGAAAGATAATAAATGGTGGTAATAGTGGTTGTTTCAAACCAGTGAGTTTTGGAGTATTTTGTTCCACAGCAATAGATAACCAAAACAATCTGTTACAGTCTGTTTACACAGGATAATATCCTCTTAGACAGGAAAGATCTTGAAGATGTTGTATAGATGGTGCACCCGGCTCTGATTTGGCCAGATGAGAGCACTTCACTATGAGATCCCTCTTTTGCACCTTGGGGAGGATATCTTTGAGGAGCATTGGGTGTGTAGGAGGGATACCTGTGGCCCCTGTTGGAATACGGTACACTTGTTTCTTTCCACAGCATTCCTAGAACACTTTCATTACACACAATTACCTAGGTCCCATGAGCCCAGTGGGGCACTTGACTGAAGCCGGGGAACGGATCTGCCTCTCCCAGAATCAAGGAGGAAACAGTCTTGGAACTGATGCCCAGTGAGTTAAAAAGGGGCTGGGAATACAGCTTCTTACATACCCAATTTAAAAAAAAAAATGCTTTCGTTGTTGAATTGAGATGTCAGGAACGCCTCTGTCTCTTTGGCAAGTGACTGAATGTATTCCTTATTAAGTTATCGTGAGAGTTAAATGTGAAAATATATGTAAAGTTCTGAGCACGGTACCTGTGTGTTTTAGGTGCTTAATCAGTAAATACCCTTTTCGAATTTACGGTAGTTTTTGTTTCCACATTAAAATGGATCATGACTCTCTAATAGGTTTACCTCTGAAAAGGCAGCTAATATGTCATATTAGGTGAGCACATTCAAGAGGTGTTTTCAAACCTGTTGTTTTGACTTCGTGTAGCATTTATGGGACTCCTGCTAAATCAAAGTGATCCTCATAAAGTCCTAGGAGCTGGTGGATGGTCTTCGTCCTTGATGCTTTTTTCCATTCCCCTCTGAAAAGACGAGTAGCGCTGTTCTTCAAACTGTGTGGCATCATCATTTTTTTCAGCCTGACCTTTGGCAAAAGGCAGACTGTTCGCCAGCTGCTAGGACACAGAGCCTCTCACCAAGTGTAAATGGATGGAGGTCTCAGATCCATTTACACCTGATGGAGAGGCTTGCTTACGCCACTCTGGTGTGTATGCTGCTTGGATGTGTTTTCCCATAGACGTGTTCAATACAGCTCTCTAAAACTCTCCTTGCTTTGGACCAATTTCCATGGCAGATTTGCTAGGCTTTTGAGTTTCCAAAAAGATGGAATACCCTAACTCTAGCCTAGCCAACTAAATCACTGCCAATTTTGAACTCCAGTTTTGGAAGCAAAATTCGTTTTGGTGTGGTTTGGAGAGGCAAAGTCAGGGCTGCCGTTCTTTTTCTTGCAGGAGACACAACCCAACATTACGTTTTTTCAAAGAGTTAGAGGAGATGAGGCTGACACACTGAGGAGGGACAGAAATTTTATTTCTGCAGGTTCCTTAAGGCAATGGAGGAAGCTTAGCGGCCACAGGAGTCTAGTTAATGAGCAGGTTATACAATATTCATTGTGTTGAGTTTAACTCTTCAAACAGAACATCTAATTGTGAAAGAAAAAAAGCAGCTACATTACAGATGTTAAGACAACAAAGCTCGGGAAGAACTCCCTCTGTTGATAAAACTGTCCTTTCACAGCTTCCTCCACTCCCTGCTCACCGACGGGAGCACAGTGAATCCCTGTCATCAGCTATTCTCATTAGCTCTGTTCTGCCTGAGACACTCTACAGGGTCTAAGGAGGGCCGCTGAGAGGCCTGGGACACCGGGCTTCTCAGAGGATTGTTTTCTTGTCACCCACGGAGGGAGCGGTCCAGTTGTATTCGGCTTCAACCAAAACAAAACTGTTCTCCCCAATCTTCCTGACATGCACAATCTCACCACCATCGCTCCTGACAACAGCATCCCGGGCAGGCTCACTGAAGGACACTTCCGTCTGCTTGTGGCAATACTGGGTGTGCAGGTAGCAAAGGCCAGCAGCCAGGGCCATGCCCAAGGTGGCTGAAAGCCCAAGCAGGATTCCCAGCTGTGGAGTCCTGAGCTGGATCCCTGAAGGGTCACTGGCTCCCTCTTGCCCAACCTCAGGCTTTGGGTTGGTCTTCCTAGGGTGTCCCACTCTGCCCTCTCCATTTCCTTCCCCGACTCTGGGCTCCTTGTGCTTTGACTGAGGCAAGAAGCTAACAGAGGGCCTTGATGCCTCTGACTGGCCACCAGCAGCATGTGGCCTGGGAGTGGCAGAGGTGTGGAATACAGGGTTTGGGTTGGCTGCCACAGCCCCATTCCTAGTAAGTGCTTCAGAGGACCGGAGGCGCTGAGGATAGGTAGGATGGACAGTGTACAGAGGGGGCCTCATTACAGTCCTATTAGAGATCTCCATCTTGTCCTAGAAAAGCAAACAAAAAAAGAAGTCAAAGGAGCTGGTCTTCCCCTAAGCTGCCACCGAACTTTGCAACTAACCTGTGTTCCTTAAAGAAGCCTAGGCAGCAGCTGAAAACCCAGCCTCGTGCTTTCTCCTAAGAGAGCTCAGAGTAAAATGCCCAAGTAGATGAATATGCACTTGTTATAGATGGGAATGGGGCAGCTAATGGAAGCCCCACAGAGACAGCATGGAGGCCAGTTACAAGAATAAACTCAGGGTCCTCTAAGAGGCTTCCAGACCAATATGGGTGATTGTCATCTCAAGTGGCTGAAAGCTTTGAGTCTTTTTATACTAGGACTCATGCAAGAGGGACCATTTAATCTTGCTGTAGGTTCTGATAAATTTGAGTACGAATATTATATCATGTTTTATTTTGTGTCCTTTTAAGACTTCAAAGGAATAGTAAATCAGTGGGCATGTATATTTTACGCTGCCCATTGATCTAACCTCTGGGACCATACATGGTGTTTTAAGGCCAATGTTATGAAGGAAAGGGTGGGGTGTGGAGGAGAGAGGAATCATTAACCAAAGCTAAGTGGGAAAACAAATCACTAAAACCATCAGTTTCTACAATTGCCGATAACTTCAGAGACACTGCATATAATGGAAAGGCTGGTATTGATTAGTGAAACGATGCTGTGTGTATATCATACACTTGCTTCCTTCTCTCTAATTTTGGCTACTATTCTAACAGCTCTTATTTCCCAGCCTGGAACTTCCCACTCTGGGGTCAAAATACCAACCTCACTGCCCATGCACAACTCAGGCTGTTACCTGTGCATCACTATCTGAGGGCAGGCAAGTTTCTGAGGAATCAAAGCGTGGATCATCCTGAGTCCTAAAGGGAAGAAGAGAAGGGCCCACTAAGTATATGGATCAAAAAGCAATGCTTCCTATCTCTGCTATGTATATTGATAAAATCAGATTTTCTTGGAAAGACTCCTGATTTTGGAGTTGGGGACTGGAAGGGGAGAGGTGAGTCAAGATGGCAGCAAAGACTCAGTGAGTGCTTTTATTTGTTTTACATAAAACTTGTAAATTTACATAACTAAAATAGAAAATTATTTTTTTTACAACAGCATCTCTGAGACCTCACTCTGTCCAAGAAAGTAGTTTCCTCAGGCAGTTTTTACACCCACCCCTTCTGACCAGTAGTCATTCCACAGTGAAGGTTTCTTGGGCACGTAAGAATAAATATGGTAAGATCCTTTTCTGTCAGGCTCCAAGAAGTGTACATTTGCTCAGCACCCCAGTGTTTGGCCTCATCCCACCACCTGACTGAATGGCCCACCCCCTGGGGTGTTACCTGTGGGAGGTGCTAGGGCTGGAAGGAAAGCCCTCTGAGGAGAATCTCCCAAGGGCCACCAGCCTCTCCAGCCCACGGACATCCAGGGATGGTTCCAGGGGTGGGCTGCTGTCCCCACTGGGTGGCTGGCCATTGCTGACTGCAGTAGCTGTGTGTGAAGATGGTTGAAACAGAGTCTCTGCACCCCCAGGAAACTCTGTCACCCCAAAACTGGTGGGAACAGGATCTAAGCTGTCCTCCTCTGCAGGTCCAGTTAGGGCGACAGCAAAGACATCTGCGTGCTGCTGTAGAAGAGTGATGGGGAGACTGGCAGCTAGGGAGGGGCCCAAAAACACCACAGAGAGAGAGTGAGAGCATTTTCTTTGTCTTGATTAGCAAAAACAGCTACTATAATGGGCTAAGTACTAGAGACTTCAATGTGCCTTGAGAACAGACCAGTAAGTGTGAGACACTCAAAAGTGTCAAGAAAAAGATGATCTGCCCAGTAATACAAGCCTCTGACCAAGCAGCAAAGGACTCAATTTTTTACATCTTTTTGTCTGTGTGTGAGGAAGATTGGCCCTGAGCTAACATCTGTTGTCAATTTCTCTTTTTGCTTGAGGAAGATTGTCACTGAGCTAAGATCTATGTCAATCTTCCTCTATTTTGTATGTGGGACACTGCCACAGTATGGCTTGATGAGCAGCGTGTAGGTCCGCACCCAGGATCTGAACCTGTGAACCCCGGGGTATCCAAGCAGAGCATGCAAACTTAACCACCACACCACCGGGCCTGCCCTTCTTACATCTTTTTAAAGAGTATGTCCCTGGCTGGCCCTTCTGAGCTTGTGCATTCTTAACAGTTATACCCAGGAAATATAGAAACCTCTGTAACCACTATATTTTTTCTCGCCTCTACTCAAAACTGCTTCTAGCTAGAAAAAGAAAGTAGATCCTATAAGTCAAAGATTTTTAAAAGTCCTAGATCTTTCTTGCCATATCGTCAACACCAAGGTTTCCCCAGTGGTGATAACTTGAGCCTCTGCTGTGGGCAGAGACAAGATCATTGCCTACCACTGCCTCCTACCATCTCATTTCCCATCCATGACTGGCTGACATGATGGCCCAGAACATTAGAAATAGCGTCACACAGTGCAGCAAGCAAGCAAGCAAGCACTGGTTTTGGAGTCAGATTGTTGTCTGGGTTCGATTCTCCACTCTGCGAATTCCTGGTTTGGGGCAAGTCCTCCCAGAGCATCAGTGTCTTTTTTGCAAAATGGGACCAGTAACGGTAGCTACAGCTTAGAGTTATTGAGGGGGTAAAATAAAATCACAGATATGGAAGCATGAAGCACAGTGCCTGGCACACATGCGACGTGCACTGAGAGTTTACCACGGTTATATTAGGATGATGATGATGGTGTTCACAAAAAAAAAAAAAACGTGTTGGCAAAACTTTCTCTGACCAGGGCTCCAAGTGGGTTAGATTGAATCTTTTTTTTTTTTTTTTTTGGTGCCACTTTGTTCCAAGGCCTTCATCACTCAAAAACATTGAGACTGAAGTGAAAAACAACGAAGCCTAACAGACACAAAGAATGTGGGAAAAGCTCAGACGGTTTTCGTCTCCTGCCTGAACTCTACATGCATTTGGACATTTTTCTGCAGACCCACTGTGTGCAGGGGATGCAGACGTGATGCAGATTGGTTATTGTTGTTTCTGAACTCAAAATCTAGGAAAGACTCTTAGATGTTGAACCTTCTAAATTACAGTGTGATGAGAGCTTTAAAATCAGAACTAAGGACGCAGTTACATTTGCCCACCAAGAAGTATGAGGAAAAGTTTTACAAAGGAGATATATGCACCACCCCCTGAAAGATAAATAGATCATCAGGAGGAACAGCCCAGTCTGAGGAAATGTCAGAAGGCAGACATGGAGCTATACAAACAGATCATGCCTAATAGGGTCAAAGTGTCCCAAGGCTCTGTTGGGAAATAAGTTTGAGAAATACAATATACCATCTTCCCAATGTGAAAATTCATAATTCACACCTGCCTACTGAAGTCTTCTTACAGTTAAGAAATCTACTTCTCTTTGTTAGATGACCCCTCCTCCAACAAACACACATGCACCCACGCACATGCACGCACGCTCCTTTTTCCTTTGGGAAACAGTAGGGTTTGTGTAAAGGAAAGGGCAGGAAAACAGGCTGGGTACAGAAGGGGAGTGAGGTTTGGAACATAATAAGGAGTTTATCCTGTAGTTGCTCAGACTGGAGTCTGTCACTCCCTGGGGGACAAGGTTCCCAGCAGGGTCAACCATCAGAGAGACTACAGGGTGAACACGAGGCAACATCCTGAAGGCTCACTTTTATTCATATTCATATTAAAACAAACATGCCTGGGATTCGAATGCAACATTTGCATGATTTATAAAACAAAACATGAGACTTCAAATACATGTTGGGTTTGCAGGTTCTTCAGACCACACTCTGAGGCCCTGAGATCTCTAATCTGCTTTGAGGACCACCTTGGCAGAAACGGTAGAGGAGCACTGCTGGGCAATGTGGGGAAGGCAAAGGTTTTGGTCACAGGCAGAGTATAGAAGGCCGCCCCGGGTCATCTTTGTGCCTGGGTCTGATAGACGGAGCAAAGTCAGGGATTCAAATCGGATCCTAGCTGTCACATGTTAGCCAAGAATAAGGGAAAGTGGGGTTGAGTGGATCAAACACTGGCTTTTCTGTGCAAGTGACCGTTGCCTTTATGAGTGTGTCTGTTCACAGCATTTAACTACAAATAAATAATGAAAATGAATTCCATATCAGCAGGGAATTTCACAAAGGTCAAACACGCTCTAGCTGGTTGGTTTTTTTTTTCAGGTGTTCATGGGCCAATGGGGTCTAAAGTCATGTGGTGAACCAGGAAAAAGTCCATTGCCATTGAAACAGCCTCTCATTTCTGATTCTGTTCTCCAACCCAGGCTGCAAAGAGCCATCTACCTACATGTAGAAAGTAACAGTAAAAACTGGAGGAGATTTTGGGGCCAGCTTGGTGGCGTAGGGGTTAAGTTTGTGCGCTCCGCTTTGCAGGCCTGTGTTCCCCTGCCCAGGTCGGGTGCAGGCCCACACACTGCTTAACAAGCCATGCTGTGGCAGGAGTCCCACATATAAAATAGAGGAAGAACGGAAAGGATCTTAGCTGAGGACCAATCTTCCTCCAAAAAACACACAACTGGATGAGTTTTTATAAAAAAAGAAGAAAAGATCATTTATTTCTTGTGCGCCCTGTGTAGCTGCAGGGGTCTGAGGAAAAGAGCTGAAATATTGTGATGATTGGTAAATGTGGGGGTAGGGGGAGGAGTGCGCTGTTTGGAGGGTTTGCAGCAAAGTTCTGCCTCTCCGCTCCAGGGCCCAACTTAATTTGTGAGGTTGAGCCGGACAAAGTGTGTTTGCTGCAACAAACACAGCAATGGCAATCTGTGTCATCACGGCCCTCCTGCTCACAGCTGTTATCACGTCCCCAAGAACGGGGGCAGTCGGCCAAGGCAGGTGTTTATTGCTTGTGGTGCAGGAACTGGAAACTGGCAGGAGTAACTTTTAAGTGAAAATAGATAACTATAAACATAATGATGCTAATTAGGCTAGCAAATACCGTGGCAAGCTGTACCTGGGGCGGTTCCTTCCACACCCTCCGGCCTCTGCCCTGGGGTTGGCATCCGTGAGCCCGGCTCCACACGGCCGGCGGAATGGGCTCTGCTGTGTGTCTGCTGAGACACAACAGATGATTCAATCCTTGCCCAGTAAATGAAGTACGACTGGACTACTGATAAACTGTGGAAAAAGCAGGCAGAGGCATTCGAGGATTTAGTTTCCCTGAAATAATACCTCGGGCCATCCTAATAGAAAGGCGAGAACAAACAAAAAGATAAAGAACAAAAGTTTAAACGAACAGAACCAAAAAGAAATGACCGTATTATCCTTGGGGGAGTCCATTCTTTTCATAAACAAACTCGATAGCAGCAAATAATTAAAATAGGAGAGGATATGTACCAATCAATTACCCTCCTAAATAGAGTCATTAAAAATCTCTTGACTAAAAGGTGTTTTCTTAAACTGTTTAGAGTCAAAGGTTTCATCTTCAACTTTAATATTAGCCATTACTGGTATATTGTTAATCGAATTACACTGTTAATTCAAAATTTTGTTCTATTGTATAATCATACAATTCGAATTGCAATTGTAGATTCTATTGAAAATTAGAGATAAATCATTAATACTCTAAATAACATTTTGTATACATAATGCCTTTCTCCAGTAAAAATCATTTTCACAAACATTATCTCATTTATCCACCCCCAAAATTCCCTACTGAGGTAGGGATTACTGGCAAGTGTCATTTTTCTCACTTTAAATAAGGCAGTTATAAAAACGTGATTGATTTAGCAGCGGTCATGCAGAGAGGTAAGGTGCAAGTCAGAGGCGTGGTTCAAGCCTCAAACAGATCAATGTTATCGTGGGAAAGGATCTGGGAGGTGAGAGAGCATTGGGTGACTTTGCGAGAGGCTTCTGATCAAGTGACTTGCCTGTCAAATGGAGATAATAGCTTCTAGACTACTTCCCATGTAGCACATAGCAGCTATGATAATAACCTGGAAATAGAAATGGAGGTGCTTTGGGAAATGAAAGTACCTGTACAGATGTAAGGACTTCAATCAACACACACCCTCTGCGTTGGATCAGAACCAAAGCCACAGCAGATGTTGGGTTACACCAACAGTCAAGTGGGCACTGGCCTTTCCAAATGGGCAAAATGGTTAAGGCACAGCGCTTGCCTCCTTGCTGTCCTGCTGCTGCATTAGGCCACCAGGAAGGGATGGAATAGAGACACTGAGGGGTGGGGGCCCCATGACTCGTCTCTGTTCCCCAGAGGAACAGAGGGGAAAGCCAGGAGGGGAAACACGGGGTCTGGATGCCTCCACCCTCAGGCACAGCCTCCATGTTATATACATGAGAGTGTGGGGAAAAGAAACTGAAGAACACACATCCTTTCCTACAAGCAAAAGAAAAAGTCTTTCTTGGAAAATGCAAGTGTCTGAAAAGAATGTCAAAGCTAGTGTCTCATTTTGAGTACTGATGATGCTTGTACAGTACTTACTGTTGCCAGGAACTGTTCTAAGTGCTTTGCATATATTGGCTTTTTCACCTTCGCACAGTCCCATGAAGTGGGTACTGTCATTATCACATCCAGTTAACAGACAACAAACCAAGGCACAGAGACTTCTGTGACTTTCCCTGAGCCCAGGAAAGTGTCTACTTGTCTGTGTGCCTCAGTCCCTCTCTTTCTCAGCTCTTTCCCTACCTTCCCACCAGCAGCTCTAGTCAGAATTTCCTGGAGAGACTGGCCAAGATTCATCTGGGCCCAGAAGAAGAGGAAATCACAACCCTGGACCATGGACTATGACAAAGGGTGAGCTGGGGACAAATTTTTTTTTTAGTTACGCTCTGCATAGGCTCTAGCTGGGGCAGCCCCCGTGACCCTGTCCTTGCTATAAGGTGGCCAGAGGTAGGGAACAGGCAACTTGAAGGAAGGAGAAGCTGCCCTGTCTTCAAAGGGGAAGGCTCAGTGACTAAGAACCAGCACTCCACTGTCTCTTACAGGAATCTGATGTCCCCGACAGGCTGGGCAGGGGCCTTCCACTCGAACGACAGGTTTCTCTTCCGAGACTTGTCAGAGTGGGTGACGGTGTCAGCCTCTTCAAAACAAGTCATCAGTTTGGACTGAGGAGGAACGAAAACGAAAGTGCCTGCTATTTGATGATCAGACACTCTTCGAGCCTGAAGCAGAAATCCCATGAAATTACGACCGCTCCTCACAGTCACTGCAACAGAAAACATTCATTCAAGGTGAGCGCCTGACATAGTTCCATTCGGCGATTTCAGATGGGGCTTTTCAAAACTGAAAGCTTAAGACCAGCCCCCAGAAAGTAAACAATTCATTAGGGGAAAAAAAAAAGTTGAAGTGTTATTTCCCACCCAAAATAAATTCCATTTGAATCAAAGATAGGTGAAAACAAAATACAAAAGAACTAAAAACAATGATTTGGTTTTGTTTTGTTTGGTTGTTTGATTGGGGCTTTTTTGGTGAGGAAGATTGGGCCTGAGCTAACATCTATTACCAATCTTCTTTTTTTTTTTTTAATCTCCCCCAAAGCCCCCAGGACATAGTTGCATATCCTAGTTGTGGGTCCTTCTAGTTCTTCTATGCGGGACGCTGCCTCAGCATGGCCTGATGAGCAGTACTAGGTCATGCCCAGGATCAGAACTGGCAAATCCCGCAACCCCGGGTCACTGAAGTGGAGCGTGTGAACTTAACCACTATGCCACAGGGCCGGCCCCTTGTTTGTTTTTTAATACTGGAGTTAGGAATGCCTCTGTAAGCAAAACCCAGTAGCCATAAAGGAAAAAGATGATTTTTAAAAATTCTGAATATGGAAGAAATCAAAAGACAAATGATAAACTGAGAAAAGTATTTGTAAGTTACAAAACTGACAAATATACAGAGTTATAGGGAATTAAAAAAATGACCAAATCCAAAATTATCAAAGGGCACAAATAGAAAACAAAACAGGTACAATCATATTTTAAAAAATAATTACAAGGGCCAACCCAGTGGTGTAGTGGCTGAGTTCACTGCTCTGTTTTGGTGGCTTGGGGTTTGCCAGTTTGGATCCTCAGTGTAGACATACACATCACTTGTCAGGCCATGCTGTGACGGCATCCCAAAGAGAAGAACTAGAACAACTTACAAGTAGGATGTACAACTATGTACTGAGCTTTGGGGAGGAAAAAAAAAGAGGAAGATTGGCAAGAGATGTTAGCTCAAGGCCAATCTTCCTCATAAAAAAAAAAATTACAAATGAGACACTCTTTTATACCTATCACATTAACAAATTTTAAAATGTGTAATTATAACCAGTATTGATAGGACTACGGAGAAGGTAGGGCCTTCATTCAGTAGTGCTAGAACTATAAACCAGGCAACTCTTTGAGGGGGTAACCTGATCGTATTTTCCATATTTAAAATGCAGTTACCTCTGACATATGCTACAACATGGATGGACCTAGAAAACATTAGAGTAATTGAAATAAGCCAGGCCTAAAATGACAACAATTGCATGATTCCACTTATATGAGGTACCTAGAGTAGGCAAATTCATAGAGACAGAAAGAGGACTAGAGATTACCAGGGCCTGGGGGAAGAGAGGGATAGAAAGTGATTGTTTAATTGGGTACAGAGCTTCTGTTTGGGATTATGAAAAAGTTCTGGAAACGGATAATGGTGATGGTTTTACAACATCGTGACTGTATTTAATGCCACTGAATAGTATACTTAAAATTGGTTAAAATGGTAAATTTTATATTACGTATTTTTTTTACTATTTTTTACTTTTTCTTTTTTTTTTTTAAGGAAGACTCGCCCTGAGCTAACATCTGTGCCAGTCTTCCTCTACTTTGTATGCAGGTTGCCTCCACAGCATGGGTGATGAGTGGAGTAGGTCCACACCCAAGATCCGAACCTGTGAACCCAGGCAGCCAAAGCAAAGTGAGCAGAACTTCAACCGCTCGCCACGGGGCTAACTCCCCTATGTTACGCATATTTTAACTACACACACACACACACACACACACACACACGCAAAATGCAGTTACCCTTTGATCTACCAATTTCACTTGTAGGAATTTTTCCTACTGACATACCTGCATAAATAAGTATGGCAAACACTGAGGTTCACGACCCAGCAGCCTTTCTCCACTTATTCTCTGCTAAGGGAACCCAGACGTTACAGTTTTCCATGCATTTGAACTTTTATTAATAAACGTTTTACAAATATTTAGTGTTATTATTTAACACCAGGCACTGTACGAGGCCTTGAGTATACATCCATGAACAGGATAACATACATGGTCCTTACCTTCAAGGAGCTCACAGATTAGTGTGGGATCCCAGCAAAAAAATGTGTAATCAGAACACAATTCTCACTGAGTCCACATGGTGCTCCCTTGAGCCCTTTATTATATACATTGTCTGAGGGCTGGCCTCATGGCCTAGTAGTTAAGTTTGGCGCGCTCCACTTTGGCGACCCGGGTTTGGTTCCTGGGCGTGGACCTACACCACTGTAGCCACACGAATACTTCTCCAACCACATTTAGCTGCCACCTTCAGCATCTGCAGCTTCCTTCCCTGCCTTTTCTAGCTGGCACCTTGGGAGCTTGGTCCAAGGTAGGCAGGTGTGACTCTGAGGAGTGTGTGTGTGTGTGTGGGTGTGTTGGGGGGCAGTAGGGGTTGGTGGAAAGGCCCCTGGAAGGCTACCCTCAACCAATAAATACCCTACTCCTTCCATTCTCCTGAGAGGTGATTCAGAGGTGTGTTTCATGTGGTTTCTCAGAGAGTCTCCACTGGAACTGAGCCCCAGTGTGTCGCCCACAGCAGTGACCTGCTCTGTTTCATACCTCTTATTGGCGTCTCCCTCTTCCCTGTCTCCCTGTCCCCTCTTCGTCATCTGTGCTTCCTGGGAGCACCTCCCAAATAAACCACCTGCATTCAAGTTCTTTCTCTGCTTTTCTAAGCTCCTAAACTAAAATAGCAGCAAATACTCTTTTCACTCCCCAAATAATTTTAGTTTTAAATAACGAGGAAAAAAGTTTATTTCTCACACACACATGATACATAAAGTTTGTTCAGGATAACTATATTTATATCTTATAATAAGGAAAAAATAATTTTTTATAATGATGTCATTTGTGCCCTCTTATGAAGATTAATGTCAATATAGAGATTAGTTATGTGGTTTTCATGATACAATTATTTCATGCTTATTTTTGGCCACATAATTGCCTCTTAGGATTAAGCCAAACTTCAGCCCAGGAAACTCCTGCCTGGGACAAACACAACTCGAGATTTGTCACTAGGGCCCTGAAGCTCCTCAGGGCCTCAAAGCCTCTCCCGTACGTACCTGGAACTGTGTCACCTGGTGAGTAGGAAGACCTGCTGGTGTGAATGGTGATGTGGTGGGTCCCAGGGTCCTGAGGCTGGGCTCCAATATGCTTGGGCTGCATGTCCTCACAGGCCACCAAGCCGGCACCGTGGGAAAAGGCAGATGAGCAGGAAGCCAGGCAGAGGGTAGCACAAGCCCAGCCTGTGAGGGCAGCGGGGACCCTCATCCTGCCCTTTCCTGGGTCATGAGAAACAACAGCTTCAATCCAGATACTACTTAAGAAAATGGTATGTCGTCTTTTTGAATGTGACTGACCAGAGTCCACACTGCCTTTGAACCTGAAATGCTGTTAATGCTGCCTCCCCAGACGCAGGTGCCCAAGGTCAAAAACAAAAAGACAGGCCAGCCTATACGGAGTATTTCCTTTCTAAACCCTCTTTTTTTTAAACCTCTCTTCTCGTAACTTTCTCATAAGACCACACTGCTTCTTTTTAAAGAGAGAATTTAATAATTAAGTCAAGGAAACAGAGCCAGAAAATGTTTGTATCCTACAGAGAACTCCTTACAAGCTGTCTGATACCAACGGCAGAGTGAGCTATGAAATATTATTGCTAAGTGAGACACCAATATTCCAGCATGGCAAGTGCTGGCTTGGATTAGTGTCTTATCTCTTAATTGCAAACTAGAGTTAAATGCTACAAAACGTCTGCCACCTATCAATTATTTAGAGGTGATTGCTAAATTTGCAATGCTTTGATATCTCCTTGTCCTTTCTCCTGTTGACCGTTTTTAGTTATTTCACCACTTTTTTGCAGAGAAGATGAACAAAGAAAGTTATACTCAAGCTGATTTCTTCCATACCTTCTTAAATATTCTGGCAAAAAAACTGGCTCAGGAATAGAATAAAACGATCAGATAAAATAACATTTATAGAATAAATTTCATTTTTGTTTGCCACCTTTAATGCCCGTCAACAGAAAGAATTAAAAGTTGACTGTGTAAAGAAGTTCACAGATGAAAATAAAGTGAGAGAGAGCAAATAAGATAGGTGAAATCTCTTTGAATAAATATTCAGGACTGTTGGGCATTTTTATTTATTTTTTATTTTATTTATTTATTTATTTATTTATTTATTTTTGAGGAAGATTAGCCCTGAGCTAACTACTGCCAGTCCTCCTCTTTTTTGCTGAGGAAGCCTGGCCCTGAGCTAACATCCGTGCCCATCTTCCTCTACTTTATATGTGGGACACCTACCACAGCATGGTGTGCCAAGCGGTGCCATGTTCACACCCAGGATCCGAAACGGTGAACCCCAGGCCACGGAGAAGTGGAACGTGCGAACTTAACCGCTGCACCACTGGGCTGGGCCAGGGCATTTTTAAAAAATTGTTTTTATAGTCCTATGCACACGTATTTTAAAAGTTCTGCTAATACTTTGATCTAAGGAGCAATGTAAGGCAACAACAGCCTTCCATTCTAATAAGTTGGTTTTAAAATGTAAAAATAAAATGTAAAAATTTAGTGAAACTAGCTCTAAAAGCAGTAGACTAAGGAGATAATCCATACTCCCATCCTATCTTCACAGATCGCCACTCTTTACATGGACCAGACAAAGAGAGACACAAGGAGTATGACCCATAACTCAGATCGCTTAGACTTGTCTTAAGAGTCCTTCAGACAATACCTTTCTCTGCTAGGTTTGCTTTCCATGAGGCACTGAAAGTCAAAAACCTCTACACCACAAGGGAGCATTCCGACAGCTTCCCAGACACGTTAGGAGATAACAAATGATGAGCTGTAAAAGCGTATTTTCAGTTGAGGAGACTCAGGGCTCTTCCTATTTTGTTTCAGAAGGGCCACAGAGAAAATGCCCCCTGAGCCCTTGTTGATGGCAGAAGATGGTCTCCTCTTCCTCTCTCCAAAGGCAGATCAAACACAGATGCCTCTGGAGGAAGGGGGTGAGGGCCATGTCCCACAGCTCATGGCCACAGCCAAATCCCCCCCTTTCCCACCAGCACGTTGCCTAACTGAACCCAGAAAAGCATCCACTTACCTAGGAGCACACTTGCCTTCAGGCTTGATGGAACGGCCTCCCCCCTCAGAGCTGCAAAGACACATCCTTGAAACAAGTCTTTTCTTCTCCCTTCAGCATCTCCTCTAATGGGCAGGATACCAGCTGTTACCGCTAATCCTCGGCATCCATAGGAACTGCCCCTCCGTGTCCAAGTCCAGCCTTAATCGCATTGGTTTTCTCTAAGACCACATACACATACTCACACAGTTTCCACATCAACATTGTTCAAGGCTGTGTGAAGAATTAGAAAGAACTGGAACTGGTTTTGCACACGACTGGCATTGGCATCCTCAGCAGGAGCCGGATGCCTTCATCTTGGTCTCCCTGGCAAGAGGAGAATGATTGAATCAAATCTCAGCATTCTCTGCTTCTGAGTCAATGTAGGCTGAAGAAGTTAACCCTGGTGAAGTGGGATTGATGTCATGGCCAGAGAGCAATGTTTGGTACAAAAAAGTACCACAGCACACTCCCTCCCCTATGAATTGCACTAAAGCTGGATTTCACAAATCTGGATGCATATAAGAACCACCTGAGACACCTGATCATAGCATAGCTCCTGTAGTGGTTCTCAAAGTGGGGTCCCCAGAGCACAGCATCAGCATCATGTGGAAGCTTGTTAGAAGCACACATTCCGGGACGCCACTCCACACCTACTGGATCAGCAACTCAGGAAGACAGCCAACAACCCAGCCCTCCAGGTGATTCTGATGTAAGTGAAATTTGAGAAGTGCTGGTATAGATTCCCCAGGCTTCTCTCCAGACTGTGAAATCTGAATCTGCAGGAGAGAGTATTGGTTTTATTACACACCCCGGGAGATTCTTATGACCAGGCAAGTTGGGAAAACACTGAATTGAAGAAACACCACAAAGTCAGTGAAACCACCAAGCCTCTAGTGGACCAATGCCATCGAGGATTTATTGATAAAGATGCCAGGCTTCTGAAAGGATATTTGACTAATTACAATAAAAGTTATTAATATGAGTATCTGAACACCAACTTGGTGTTAGGCATTTATTTGGGCAAAACCAAAGATGCATTAGACACTATCCCAAATCCACAGACACAGCAAAATGGAGGAGACTCAAAAGGTTACCTAGTGTATGAGCCCATTCATATAACATTCTGAAAAAGGCAAAATTATAGGAACAGAAACAGGCCGGTGGTTGTCAGGGGCTGGGGTTGTGGGGAGGAGTGGCTACAAAGGGCACTCGAGGGAATTTTTTGGGGGATGGAACTGTTCTGAATCTATTGTGGTGGTAGTTATACAACTGTATGAGCTTATTAAAACTCATAGACTGCACACCAAAAAGTGGATTTTACTGTACATAAATGAAAAAGTAGAATAAACAAAAAATGATGGTGACAAATATACCCAAATAACTATTAGGCAAAAGAAAACTGGTTTATCACAAAGGAGTTACAGGAGATTAACTCTCTAAGAGCCCAAACAAGTTTCGCAGAGGTTACATTTCAACTGCGTCTTAAACACTGAGCAGAACTTTTCCTGGCAGCGAAGAATGGAGAACATTCTAGAATAAAAGGAATGTATTGAATACTTTTTACGGCATGCCCTGACCACAACCCCTTGTAGAGTCTCACTATTCAAAGTGTGGTCCATAGACCGTAGCATCAGTATCACCAAGGAGCTGGTTGGAAATGCAGAATCTCAAGGCCCCACTGCAGATCCACTGAGTTAGTTTCCACGTTTTAACAAGCTCCCCAGAGGATTCATAGGCACAGTAAGGCCTGGAAGCACTGTTCTAGAGAATCTGCCCAGATTTTAGCCCTTGAAAGAGCCCCTACATACCATATGACAACCCCCTCACCGTGACTGATTGGTCAGAGATGGCCACTTTACCCAAGACCCGTCAATCATTGACTGGGCAGCAACCAACCAAGCTGACTTGAGAATCTGGACTTTTCAAGAAACACAGATCATTTGAGCTAAAAGGTTAAGGAAAGGTAGGATTGGAATAGGTGACACGGCAAGCCAAACTGAATTTCATTTCCAAGAGCTCTCTGGAATGTACTCCTTCCCCTTTATTGGAACTAGTTTGAGAGGGCTTTTGTGCATTTGCTTACTTGTTTTTGTTTTTCCACCTATGACACTTGACTATGGAGTCCTGGAAAGGTTCTGGCATGTTCGAGACATGCCTGGAAAGGAGGCTGCGAGGGAGGAGGAAAGCAAGGCTGAGAATTGTAGCAATCAAACTCTGAAGGGACTTGTATATCCGAGTGAGGAGATCGAACCATATTCTGTGGGAAATAAGGAGCTACTGTGGCTGTGTAAGCAGTAGAGTAGTGGGACAGGCCGTTGGGATTCCGTAAAGACAGTTTTGGAAACAGCTGGAGAGCCAGAGGCTGTGGAGGAGGCTGCTATACTAAGGTCAGTAAGAAATGATGAGGTGAACAGTGACGATGGGGCTAACGAGAGGGATGGGCTGAGATCACTTGGAGGTAGAGTTGGGATAATCTGGTGACCGACTGAAGGCGAGGTGTCCAAGAGAGAATCCTAACACAGATGGTGCAGGGTGATACGGAGCGGGGTCTCCAGGCTGACAGTGGTCAGCGTGATGGTTTGACGATTAGGCCTCGTCTCCATTCCAGGAAAGCCTAATGAAATGAGCGACTTAAGGGGCATAGCACTAATTTAGAGACGACAGTTCTATCCTTGTCATGTCGGTTTTGGGGCCAAGCTGCTTAGCCTGTCATGGCGAATGTAAAGACTCTCTACCCTAGAAAAAGAGGAGGCTGCACTGCCTTGGCCTAGGACTCCAGTACTTCCTACGCAGTGAAATCAAACTGATCAGATCTGGCTCCTCTAAGCTGTCACACCAGGAAGGAGGAAAGCTCAATCTTCGGTTAAGTCATGAGAGAACCTGGGAGGCCTAGATAATTGGGGTGGGAGCCTTCCATTGCTGCTGCTGTCCCAGTTTTCCCAATCACATGAAGGCAGTTAGTTCAGAAGCTTCCATGCTCAAGTCTTCAGCCAGGCTGGGGGCTGCACGTCCCCAGATGCACAGTGTGGCCCTGCCCCCTGAGGGTCTCCCACCCTTGGTACTCCTAGGAGTGGGGCACAGATTCCTGCTGCTGGGGGGAGCGTGCCTAACCTCCCCTCCACTCCCTTCCCAGTCTTAGGGCCAAAAGTCTCCCGGCTCTCCTTCCCCGTCTCCCAGGGGACCCGGCATAACCTACCTACCACAGGTAGAGGGTAATCTACCGCACTTCTGCTTTGGCCCTGCAACCCCAGCTCCCTGAAGCAGAGGCCTCAAAAGGCCCAGCCACCAGGCGAGAGAGGACGTGGCAAAGAGGTAGAGAGAGCACACACAAACAGCTCAATAAATAATCCTGCCATTCACCCATGAAGTAGTTCCTGTTGTTGGAAACCAGGAGGATGCCTTCCCCTGGACATGACCCTCATTGCCTGCCACCCACAGCCTCTGATGAGCTGGCAGCATGCCCTGTGCTACTCTCTCCCCAAAGCTGGTCAACCAGTTAGTAAGTTACCTCATTAATATTCACAACACTATGAGGTCCCAGTTATTATTATCCCATTTTACAGGTGAGGAAACCAAGTCACAGCATTTACATAACTTGCCAAAGGTCACAGAGCTTTCAGGCTGTGATAGATGTGGTCTCTCACCACAGCTTTGCCACCGACCACCTGTGAAATCTCATCTACAGAATGGAGGTAACTGTAATTCTTGTGCCTACATCCCAAAGTTCTTGTGACGTCTCAAAGAGGTAATAAATAATAAGCAGTTAGCTCAGCACGGGGTTTGACACAAAGGAAGAGCACAGACAAGTTTTGTTTGGGAAAGAAAACTGGCTGAGCTAAAGATGATGGAGCCTGTGCACAGAGAGGAGATGCTTCTGTGCCTGTGGCCCAGAGAGGGGGCCAGAGAGTGTGACTGTGAGAGACGGCAAGAGGGGAAGTGAGAACCAGAGAGAGAGCAAGAGAGCGAGGCTCCTCGGGCGTTCGGATTCACCCCTCAACCTCAGAGTTTCCAATGTGAAGGAGGCCCAGTGCGGGAAGTAAGAAAACATTGGGTTTCTGTTTGAATCTGCTTCAGTCACCTCACACTAGCAGTTAGGCTGGGCTTGATATATTAACGTGACTAAATCGTTACATTAACATCACGTGGCCCTGACTAGAACAGTTACTTTAATGTCATACACAAGAAGTCTCGTGGTGGGATTTATGGTTACAAATCAGAAGCTTTGTGTCCTTTGGCAAATCACTTAACTTCTCTGGGTTGCCTCAGGTATAAAATAAAAGGTTTGAATTACTAAATCTCTTAGATTTCTTCCAGCTAGAGAATTACACATATTCTTCAAGTTTTATTTTAGTCATAAAGGTATGCTGGCACATATTACCAGCATTGACACCATCTCATATCACTCCTGGCTCAGGAGTTAGCCTTGAACAAGTTTTCACAACTGCCCATTGAATCCTCAGAAAGGAAGCACCAATAGGTCAACAGAGCTCTCTGTTCCAGTCCCGTCTCTGGGTCCTTAACTCCAGTAGACACGTGGACAAAGCCTTCATTTTCAGAGTTCTCTGGAAATGGATCATGTGCCTTTGGTAACTCGTTAACAGCCTTTTTCCCTTTTTCCTGCCTTCATCATGAATTTCCACTGAAATTGACTACTGTTTTTACATAGACGCTGGCTATTCTAGCATCAATATTGTAGTGAGCATTTTAATACTTACCTAGATAATTTTTTCTAAAGCCTACAGATTTCTGGAGTGCTGGGATAATCTGTGTAAAAACGAGAAAAATTCTCACAATTTTCTTCAAACTCAACTTTAATTTTCTTAGAAATGGGAAATCAATGGACATTTATGGACATTTAGCAGGTTTGTTGACTTTTGCTTCATTCTCCATGCTACTGTGCACTTTCTTCCGTTAAAAAAAGGAATGGTTTAGTGCTCTTTTTCTGCCCAATTTCTACTCCATTTTCCCCAATAAAGAACAATACAAACAGGACATTAAAATTAATCAATATTTGAACACTTATTATTTGCAAAGCGATACTCTGCTGATGCAAGAAAGTATCTAGGAGCTGACATTTTACTTGGTGGCAAGATGCAGAAGAAAGAGCTCTAAAGTCAGACACCAAGTCAGCTGTGTGACCTTGGACAAGTTCATTAATGTTGGTGAGCCTCAGTTTTTCCCATCTGTAAAGTGGGGGAGACTATTAGAATTCTCACAAGAATGTTGTAAGGACTAGATGTACTAGCACAATGATGCACACCAAAAAAAGAAAGCTCTTATCAGAAGGGGGGAAAAAGCCAGGCTACCAGAATTTAGAGTAGAGAGGGATATTTGAACAAGGAGCAAGAAAAGATGCTTGATCTTGGAGGTTAGGTGGGTTTGGATGGATAGAGAGGGGTAACGGAACACACAAAACAGGAAGGAGAGCTGGAACAAAGGTGTGAAAGCGGAAGGAACACATTGTGTTTGTTATAATTATCCAGAAATAAAAGGAGGCATCGCTGATGGAAAGCGATGGAGACGGTGATGTGGATGGGAGTAAACGGAAGTAAAGGAAGAATCAGTAAGATCTGGAGACTATATGGAGGCAAAGGAGGGGTTTGTAAAAAAAGAATGATATTTAGAAAGCCTGAACGAATAATATAACTTATATCTGAAACAGGGAAGTTGGTGGCATTCAATGTTAGATATGCTGGAAATGCACTCAGCTTTCATTAATTCCTTCCGCCAACCTTTGCTAAATGCCTACTTAGTGGAGGCTGTGTGCTCAGGGCAGGGGATACAGAGATGAATAACACACAGCGTCTGCCTCTCCAGGGCTGGTAATGGAGACTAACGCATCAGTAGACGATCACAAAACAAGGAGATACATGATGAGGAGACAGATGATCACATGTTATCACAGCAGGTCAGAAGAGGAGGATCTGGGGGTTATGAATTTCCTTTTCCCTTTTCAAAAAAACCAAACATTCACAGCTTGTGGTTAGATGCCAGAAATTATTCTCCAAGATCAGTTTTGAAATAATTCTGGGGACTTCTACATAAATGACTGTTTTGAGGCACCTTCTTAGGATCCTACTCCACATACAGTCTTTATCCTCATGTGGGCACCTGGTCCCACCTACTGCCCTCCATTGCAACGGATGGGCTTTGTGTGTGCTATCTTTTATATCAACCTACCTCCAAGCCCTGGGGGGTAGGAATCATCTGAAAATTGCTTAGATCCCATGCACAGCACAGTACCACGCTCATCATAAGTCATCTGTTAAATAATTTAGCACAGACAAGAAGCTCAGGAAGATCAAGGTGTGCACATGTCTCTGTTGAGAACTCTACATGTTTCATTTATTTGAATCATCCTTCTTCCAACCTTTCAAGGGAAGTAGGAACAATAGCTTCCACTTACTGGGCTCTTACTACGTGCCAGGCACCCATCTGATGCTTTTCCCTTATCACCTCATCTAAGCCTCACAACGATCCTGTGAAACATCTACTCATACCCTCCCACTTCACAGATGAGGAAACTGAGCCACAGAAAGATTAAGATCAGTGGAGGAGGTGAGTTGTAAACCTCTGCAGAGGAGCCTGTGCTCCTAACCTCCGTGGTGCTACCACTGCCTCCAGATGTTCAAGAAAACTGAAATATACAGAGAGAGTGGCCTGTGATGGTTCAAAATAGCAAATTAATGGCAGCAGGCCAGATTTCAATGCCCTACTTCTGGGACCAGGGTGTGGAAGGACACTCAGGGTAAGCTGGGCACCTGGCTAGAACATCCCCTCACCGAAGACCTCGCACGTCTACTCTGCAGACCCACCTGAGCAGGCAAACCCACGGTGTCACAGCACGCAGGTGAAAGCCACTGCAGTGCAACCAGACTTCAGGAGTCCTTGATGCCGAACAAGTGTTTGTCCTTCCTTCTATCCATGATAGATTTTCTCAAATTAAAGAACACTTAAAAATTCTAAGGACATATTTTCTTTTCTCGCTTTTCTTTGTAAAATAAAGAATGCAGCATTATGTTTATTTGACTTACCTAAGTATCATCGTTCATTTTCTAACCCCTCACATGGCCCTTTATCTCCCATCTCGGGCACAGTCACAACAAACAGGGTTTATTCTCCTTTATAGAAGAGATCCAAACTGCTTATCTTTTATGTACCAAGAAGAAGCAAATTGTTTGGTTAGCCTCTGCCCTCCCTTGGCAATGGGAAAAATGCCAAAATCTTTGAATGTGAAAGTTCTTCATCAAATTTATTTTTTGGTGAGGAATATTGGCCCTGAGCTAACATCTGTGCCAATCTTCCTCTATTTTTTTATATGTGGGATGCTGCCACAGGCACGGCTTGATGAGCAGTGTGTAAGTCCATCCCTGGCTTCCAAACCCATGAACCCTGGACCACTGAAGTGGAGCATGTGAACTTAACCACTATGCCACTGGGCCAACCCCAACATTTTTACTTTTTTTGTACTTTTTAAACATTTTTCAAGGCACCAACAAAGACCAAACTCCAAAAATGATCCTCTGGTTCACTTTTATAGACCATATCTGCAGGACAAATTTCTTCTTTTGCTTTATGACTCTCAACTCCAGAGCTGGGTCCACATTTTCCCCAAACCAGGCATAGTTCTGTCACGTTCTGTTATCAACGGCCCTTTCTTCTACTAAACAGACACCTAAAACTGATAGGCCTCATTCACCGGCTCCCTTTAACAGCAGTAGAAGTCAGCCTCTTGGCCCCTCAATACTACACCTGCAGTGACCCCCGGGGGTCTGAGCCAGCACTCAGGGGAACAAAATGCCCGGCATCATTATTGAATTATTCACATGTGTCCTCTGCACACACCTCTAACACGAGAGGGCGGCCCACATCTCCGTGAGTTTGGGGCACCTCGGAGAAATGTACTCATTTGCTTCCAACCATACAGCAGTCTAGGAAAGCTGAAAGGAGAAACAGCAGACTTCCCAGTTCCCAGGCCAGTGCCTGCGCATAAAAACGCTACAGGGAAGCATGCAAAATCCACGTGGCAACAGCGTCCTTAAAAGTTTGACAGGTCTACCACAGGTGGAGCCAATAATACCACTTTAACTCTACCATTTCACTAAACCTGACGCTGACTTATTTGCCTAACTCGCAAGGCTGAGGAACAGGGATGTTTCTGTTAAAATCAGTATTACTCCTCTCACCATGCACCTGTATTTTTATCCCAAAGCCAAATGCACCATGTATTACTGAAGGATCCAGAGTTAAGCAGAACATCGTTTGAACATAGTTTAAGTTTAAACAAAATTCAAATATGGCAGTCCCTTAAGATGTTTTGCTTTTCTATGTAATGTGTACAGAAATAACATAATTTGAAATGCACAAGATATGGAGCAGTACCAAGTAGGATTTACTCTATATAGCCAAATTCTTTAAAATTACACATATTATACAAATTCATCATTTTTCTAAAAAAAGCTTTTACCACATGTTTTATTATTTTATTTCTATGGATTTTTTGAATGGCTTAGACTTATTAAAAATGGATGATTGGCCCAGGTTCTCAGCTTCCTGGCAGCTAAGTAAACAAGGTAAATATAATCAGTTGCTTACTTCTCATTTTTATGGACTATAGGGGAAAAAGTGGGCTAAAATAGCAGAAGGACAACAAGGATTCTAAATTGGCTGAAGGACTTCCCTGAAGGATGCTGATAATCAGCTCCATCACGTCACCTGGACAGGGGTTTCTGTGGCTCCTTCCCTTCAGAGCTGAGAGAGGAAGGTGTAGCGGGCATGCGACTCTGGCCTGTGGGTAATCAGCTGCTGGGAGGGGCAAGCAGATGACTGCATGGCAGAATAATGATGAAAAATAATCTTGACAGGCTAGAGCAATGAGCTGAATCTAACAAGATGAAATTAAACAAGGACAAATGTTAAGTGCTTTACTTAGGTCAGAAAAAAACCAATGGCATAAACCCAAGATGGAGGAGATATGGCTCACCAGCAGGCATGAAAAAAAATAAAAATAAAAAACTTTAGAGGTTTAAGCTGAAAACATATCACTAAAACACAATACAAAAAAAAAACTTTAATGCGATTTTATCTCCTGAACAAGGAATATAATTTTCCCATCATACTCTGAGATTACTAGTCCGCATATGGAATTGGCTTCTGGGTACCCTGCTTTATTTCCATGGAAGATGGGTATATACTAGCATTCAAAACAATTTTTGAAACAGCAAAGTAATCATCAATAAGCTCTTCCAACCAAACACATCTATTTTCATTGTTTGCATGTCATTTTTCATGTCGTGTCCTTACTTTAAAATGAGTATACAGGAGGAAATAAATAAAACAGAATAAACACATACAAACGGGAAAGCGACCAGAGTGGTTTGTGGACTCCAAATCGCGCATTTCTGAAGAGCAGATAAACAGACGGGGAGTTTCTTGAGGGGAGAAGTTCATGACAGCAGTCTTCAAATAGCCCAAGAGCCGATAAGAAAAGATTAGGCTTGTCCAGAGGTTACAAAGGAATAGCACTGATAACATCTTCAGAGTTTTTAAAGTGCCTTCTTTTAAAAAAAAACAGACTTTACTATCACATGAGGTTTGGAAAGTATTATTGCTTTGTTTTTAGTAATATTTCCATTTTCACAGATTAGGATGTTTTTGGATTAAAGATTCAAAATAATTTGAGCAAGATCACATGGCCAGTATGTGGCAGGGCTGAGACACAACCAACGTGCTCAAGCTACAGTGAGACAAATTCAAATTCCATATTACAAGACAAATCTTCCTATGAGTCATATCTATACAAAGTATAAATCTCCAGGTTTCCCCACAGTGTCTATTAATGAAGTAATGAAAGATATTTAAGAGGTGGCCACAGCAGTGGCTAATTTTTTGACCAAAATCTATAGTAGAAAACATAACATCACCACCAAATGCATACATAACCAAGGATAAAATGGAAACAAAAGCCTAACACAATAACACTAATAATTACTATAAACGGTGCATTTTGATTTTTTGCATTTTACTTTCTAAAAATTTTGACTTTTAATCAGTAAGTTGATTTCACCTCCCATGCCCTATGATGCAGATTGAAATACACTGGACTAGAACACTATTTACTGGGACTGCTTGGGTGAGCCTGAAGACCAAAAGTTCCTTCCAACAATGAAATTCAGTAATTCTGAGTCTCCCCAAACTGTGTTATGTAGCTTGAAAAAAAACCCCAAATCCCCAAATTGAAGTGCTTTTTGCTTCTAGTTTATTGCTTTCATTCTCTTTTTCTAGCTTATTGAGCTTTTTCACTCTTGATCCTATTTCTAATATTATCTGTCCCTATCAAAAATACATCATCTGAAAAATCTTTGATTCCTTTACCTAAGTAATTAATGAAAATATTAAACTGTACAGAACCAACAGAAGACGGCAACACATTTTAAGTATTGTTGTCCACACAGCTGTGTTTATGTACGCTTAAATCCTTTTCTTTTCCAAGTATCACTTACGAATCCCCCAATAATACCAGCAACTACTCTATTTTATTTTTGTTCAAAGTTAAGAAATTTTGTTCAGTGAGTTAGGATTAAGAGAGATGATGACTATGACATGATGACTGGGTCTGAAGATTAAATGAGATACATGCTGAGTGCCTCAGACAGTGCCTGGCACGTGGAAACTGCTCCATAATCGTTAGGATGACAGTGATGGTGGCAATGAGGATGTTACGGTTATATTCCCATCATTTAGTAGTCTAGACACTAAACTGATTCCATATTACGTGGTCCTGACATGCCTTCTTCAATTGAACCCTTTGTGCCTCCGAAAAAATCACCCCCTTTTTTTTTCTCTAATTCTTTTGGGAATTTCAAGGTTTTAACATCGAGTTTACTGGTCTGTTGTTTCCCTAACCTTTTTCTTTTTTTTTTTTAACCAGGGCACTTGCTCATCTCTCGTTTTCTTGAATCTCACATGCTCTTAACAGTGTTTCCTCAGTGTCCCCTGCAAGCTGTTTCATTGCAGCGGGATGTAACTCAACACTACTGGAGTTAACTTGGAGGAGCTAGTCTTCGGTATGTTGCCAGATTCTGTTTCTCTCCTAGAAGTGTTCTCAGCTTGGAGGTTATTCCTTTAGAATGAAACTTGAGTAGCCTGGTCTTCTCGCCACCTGCTAACACCATGCTATCCTCTTTAACTATTGGCCTATCCGTTTGTTGTTCACTTTATGCTGAAAAGCCTCAGTTCATTTGGGGGTTTGGGCTTTTTGACACATTCAGGCTGTGGGGTTTAAAGTCTCTGGACCAGACTGCTGGGTTTAGATCCCACCCCTGCCACTTCTTAGCTGGGTGATGTTGAGCAAGTTCCTCTTTGTGCTTCAATTTCCTCATTTGCCAAAAAAAAATACAATATCCATCTCATGGAATTGTTGAGAAGATCAAATGAGTTGTAAAGAGCTTGGAACCATGGCCAGCACAAAGGAAGCCTTGCCTACATGTTCGCTATTGCCATCACGATTTGGAACTCTCCGGAAGCCAATCCTTTACTTTCTCTTTGGAGTTTGTGTACAGGAGGAAACCTTATAGAGGTTTCTAAACTTATGGAATCTCTTCCCACAAGATGATGTTTTCTCTGAACTTTTGGATATCTGCCTTCACAAAGGCTGGGACACATGTCTGAATACATATAATGTTTATTTTACTCCCTGGTAGCCATGCCAAAATGACAAAGTCACCTTCCCAAATTCCCATCACTTCCTTGTCAGTGAGCATTTCCTCCTTAGGAGTCCACTATCAGCCCTCCTTGGTGTTTCCTCTGCTTTCTAAGCAACGAAACTGTCAGCCAGGCAGGCCAAAAATGTGTCAGATGAGCTTGTGGCAGGACGAACTTGCAGCAGATGTTGGAAAATTAAGGTCCCCAGTGCACTGTAACTTGCCTCTGCCAGTATTTTCAAACTTTCAAATAATAATAATGGGCCTGATGCTGAGGATGAGAGCAGGTCTACCTGGAAGCAAAAATGCTTACCAAAAACCTAGGTAAATTATATAAGGGCATCAGGATGGGGTTTCTGTGTAGTCACTTGCCAGCAAGAAGACAGCAAATGAACACCGATGTGGCAGACACCTTCAGGCACTGGAAATAAAACACCAAACACAGACCTACCTTCAAGGAGCTTCCAGTCTACAATGGCTCTAAAATTGATCTAGTCTCCTCACTGTTTTCAGTTTAAACTGGAGTAATGTCTCTCTCACATACACATGCCAGATAGGCACTTCTTTCTCCGTGTTTCGTTAAATTGCTACAGCACCCAGGTCAGCA